TCTATGCTCTTAAGAGTTGCTAGGACACAGAGCACAGTCCAGCAGATGGCCCTAGGGAGTGTCAGTAGCAACTTGCCCTTGAGGCTCTAATCCTTTCTTAACCAAGCACTCAAGTGCTGACTCCATCAAGTGTTAGACAACCCTCAGTTGGATAGAGTAACAGCTGAATGTTTGATTTGAGCAGCTCATAACAGAAACCATAGCCATAGAAATGTGATCTCATTTAGGAATGTGGCTAGGTGGAGGCAGAATCAGAAATGAGACTAGGTGATAGGGCACATGTTTTTAATCTCAGCACTTGTAAGGCAGAGCCAGGCAAATAGATTTCTATGAATTCAAGGCCTGCTATGGGCTATAAAAAGAATCCCTGTCTCCCCCACAAAAAAAAAAAAAAAAAAAAAGAAAGAAAAAAGAAAAAGGAAATAAAGTAGTAGCAGATCAAAAACAAACAAAGGAGTGAATATCCAGTAAGAAATAAACAGGGAAGGTAGGGCATGAGGTGTAGTTGGGTGGTGGTGTATGCTTGGCATACCCAAAGCTAGGTTCAATCCCCAGCATAAAAAACAAGCCAATTCAACACCCCATCCCCCAATAACAAAGGCAGGAAAGAACATACAGGGAGCACAGCTTGTTCCTTATTCACTCTGCAGGCCCAAGGTGGGGGCTTACGGGGAGGTCTGGGCCAGCAGAGAAAGGAGTTCTGACAATCCCAGCTGAGTCTCCAAGGTCAGTGTTATAAGACTTTTTAGTTACATGAAACATGAATCCTTTTCTTTCTGATGGGTATAAATAGTTCAGATTAGGGTTCACTAGCAATTCAGAGTTCTAATATGGCTAATTACTCAAATAAAAGCAAATATGTGCATGTTTCCATACTCAGAACCAAAAGAATTTAAATATTTTTAACATGAAAATTGAGGTCACTACATCACTAGTCAAATGCAGGCATGCTGCTGCCTACTTTTCTGAGAAAACCTGGCCATTCAACCCAGTTAAATTATACTTAATGACCATTTCCTTTTATTAGGTCCAAAGAAAACTCCAAGTCCTTAAACTTGAAAAGGGCAGTCCAAATATCCAGAAATGAGCTAAATCTGGATGATAGGAAAATTTCTGGCAGTTAGATAAAAGCCAGCATTCCTTAGGAACTTGTGAAGCCAGCTCCCCTCTACCAAATGGAACCATTTCCCTTATCTTTGGTAGAAGGGACATATGTACCTGTGGTACTTATCAGCATATCAAAGTACATGCTGACCTCTGTGATCCCTCAGCATCACAAGTACATGTTAAACATTTCAAAGTCCATGCTTCCATCCCAGCCTTATAGACCTGCTCTTCTCAGTCCCATCTCTCTCTCTGTTCCTCTCACTATGTTTTCTCTATTCTCTATACCCTGTTATTCTTCCCTCCGGCAGATACCCCTGGCTACATTCAGTCTACTTCTCTCTCTGTACTGGACTCTTCTAGATGACTCTGGCTATTCTCTTATATCTACAATAAAAACCTTCCCCTTAACTATACCATGGAACAGTCACGTCAGTTTATACACTTTAAAAATGTATCCATACAAAAAGATTTGTATTCTTTTATGCAGAAAGCTCTTAAATATTAACCCATAGGAAAGGATACACAGCAGTCAAAATATTAATTTCTTGTCATCCTGTTTATATAAGTTACCATTTTATCAAATTACTTAGTAAGTGCTTCTGAAAAAGCAGGCAATTTTCCCTGTTTTTCCCCCCCTAGGCTGAATCATGAACCTGAAGTACAATGTTGCTCAGTGTGTAGCTCAGACTGATTATGAACATTATCTTGAAGCTTATTAGGAAATGCAAATTACTGGGCTCATTTCAGAGCAGGGGAATCAGCATCTCCAGTGATGAGCAGCCAGGCATCTACCCTGGTTATGCTTAGGCAGAAACTGAAAAGGCAGTGTGGGGCAGGCAGCACACTACAGTTAGCCTAATGTATTTTACTTGGCTCATGCTTAACAGAGGCAGAGCAGAAACCCATCCTGCTAGCTCTGGGAGAGATCACAAGGCTCCCAGTCTTCACACTACATCTAAAACTGGTTACTTGGTGTTCTTCCCTGAGTGACCCTTATTTTCTTCTAAATTGACTTGCTGGTTGAGACAGGACAGAGGATGTTTTCTCTTTAGACTTGGGATGTTACCATGTAAATTTCTCAGGAAACCTGGAAGACAGGGGTAAAAGATGGACAGTGTATGCTATCTCTTTATGCTCCAGCCCAGAATAAATCACAAAGCTGTTGATAGTTCAGCACTGTACCTGCAAATTACAAGGCTAAAGAAAGCAGTTTTAAGGTCTAACAGTGGTAAGACTTAATGTGAGTCAGAGGTGGGGGACAAAACCTAGCTGGCTTAAGAAGCCATTAGAGGCCAGTTGGTGGTGGTGCATGCCTTTAATGCCAGCACTTGGGAGGCCGAAGCAGATGGATGTCTTAGTTTGAGGCCACCCAGGTCTACAAAGTGAGTGAGTTCCAGGACAACCAGGTTTGCACAAAGAAATCTTGCTTCAAAACAAAAAACCAACCAACCAACCAACCAACCAACAAAAAGAGCCATTAGAAATAAACATCGTATCCAGGATAGAGGTGGCTCGGTAGTTAAGAGCAGTGACTGATGATCTGGAGGACCCAGGTTCAATTCCCAAGCTGTCTGGTGTCTGATCAAGCCAGGATTAAAGTAAATAAATAAACATTATTGGATGACAACTTTTACAATGCATAATTCCCTAAACACATTTACTATGTAAAATACATTGGTACAGAATTAATAACACAAAGCATGGTTCCTTTCACGTTGGCTTATTTATTTTCACAATGCCACAAAGAAGTCCCAAATCTTTACAATTCCTTACTTGCTTCTCATTTTTTTTAAAAAAGAAAAGCCCTAGAATATCAAATCATGTTTAAAAAAACTCTAACTGAATTATTTTAAGTTATGACAATGATAGAATGTGCCAGTCAATCAAAATTCCAAACTAAAAAACCTTTAAAGTAAGAATGAACCATCACCGGGTCTCACCACATCTCGCAGCTGTTCAGGCTGAAGCAACTGTCACCCAGTGCTAGTGCCGTCCCCAACACCACTCCCATGCAGAAAGCATGTGTCCT